GAGGACATACATAATTAAAATATATTGTTGGCCAAATGAACATATAATAGAAATTTTCTACACATTACATACAAATCATTATTATTTTTTACCTCTAGCAGAAAACTTTTATAGGGACACCTATGAAATTCATTAAATTTTATTGCTAGGCGTTTTTATACATGTCAACTGACTTCGGAAAGACTATAAATAAATACATTGTTATGTAAATAATTATGTCTGAATGCATTTAAAAGTAGCAAGTAATATATTGGGTTTTTTTACCTATTTTCGCGTTCTCTCCCGATTGTACTTTGGTATCGATCTTCTAACTTTTTATATATAATGCGCCCTCTCTCTGTCTCTTTGCCACGTTTGAGCATCTCACTGGCTACATAAAATTTGTTGAACTGTACGCATATAATTATAGTGAATGGATATTCGTAGGTATTGGTAATATCTTTTAATAAAAAAAAAATGGTGTATAAGTATGTAAGTGTCAAAAGCTACCGTTCAATATTCTATTAACTTCTAAGTTCCTCTCTGCAGTTCCAAAGTCTATAAATCATATAAACGAATAGAAAACTTAATGTTGACTCTAAAGTCAACCCGAGATTCTGAACAACGTGATATGAAGGAATATTCTCAATATTAATTGTAACTTTAAAATTATCAAGATTTCGCAATTGAGTAGTTGTTCCAAAGACAATATTTTGACTTTTATTAATATCATAAATTAGTTTTATATCATTATTTGTTATTTTTCTGGCCATATTCAAGTCAGACGGCTTGAAAATATAAAGAAGTTGTAGATGATCAGCATACAGATAAAATTTACAATTTAAAGAGAAGAGAAAAAGGCTGATGTAAAAATGTTGAACCAAAGAAGCCCTAACATAGAACCCTTGGGAATACCAGAAGCTACTAATCTATATTCTCTCTCTTAAAATATCGTCAGCTACATTCGCTAATAATGTTAAAGAACTGAGTCCTTTCTGAAATCCATATTGACTTAAAGGAATTATTGAATTGTCAACACAATATTCACACAATTGTTCATATTAATAGACCAGGCGGTATCTGTTTTGGTTTGGATGAATCGTATATCCACGGAGATTTTTGGCTTTTTGGCTTTCAAATATCACTAGAAATGAAAATTTTTCTATGCGCATAAAAAAAACGTGGGCTTAACTTTTGACGGCACAATATGTTAAAAAAATTGGAAAAATGTCGTATTTTTCTTCCTATTTAATTATGTATCTTTTTAAGAGTTGATTTTAGGCGAAAATGGAAACGAAAAAAATGTTTGTAATTAAATTTTTTACAATACGTGACTGGTTACAAATCGAATGAATCATGATTATTATGGTAAAAATCGAAAAAATCACAAAAATGGAGTTAAAAAACTATACTTTTTAGGGATTTTTTTTGGCGTATTTAAATTGGGTGTAGGACCTTTATTTCATCAAATTCAGTTTGATAGATTTTGCATAATAATTTTGCAATCCAGATTAAAAAAAAAAATTCTAATTTTCTAAATTTTGCACAGCAAAAACCAAGGCCCTTAGATACTTTAAAATTTAATCACATATAGAAGGGCTCTCAGGATTTCAAACTTTTTTTGAAAAATTCGAATCCATCAATTAGGAGAGCTCTGGCGCTTGTTTAAACATTGGTCGAATTTTTGTACTTATAAACAATTAGAACTTTGTGAATATTCAATCAAATCAAATTTTTTAAAGCAGGTTTTAAAAGTTCCTGGAAAGACGCTTCTTTTTTAAAAAAAAACAGATCGATTGATCAATTAGTTACGTAGTTATAGCCGATTCAATTTCGAGCAGGCCGAAGCGGCCGCGCTCTCTGCTTCCCCCACCACCACCACCCGTACGATTTTATTGAATTTCTCGCTTGCATAAATAACTTTAAACACGTTTTAAAGTAGGTTGCCAATGAAGAAAAGTATTGTAATCTTAGACCTGGTAAGTACTCGGAATACCAAAGGTATTTTTCGAAAAATTAGCCCGGATGTCCCAGTACATTTAGTGTAAATGACGGCTATAACTACGTAACTAATTGATCAATCGATTTTTTTTTTTTTTAAAGAAGCGTCTTTCCAAGAACTTTTAAAACCTGCTTTAAAAAATTTGATTTGATTGAATATTCACAAAGTTATTCTAATTGTTTATAAGTACAAAAATTCGACCAATGTTTAAACAAGCGCCAGAGCTCTCCTAATTGACGGATTCGAATTTTTCAAAAAAAGTTTGAAAGCTTGAGAGCCCTTCTATATGTGATTAAATTTTCAAGTATCTAAGGGCCTTGGTTTTTGCTGTGCAAAATTTTGAAAATTTGCAATTTTTTTTTCAAAATCTGGATTGCAAAATTATTATGCAAAATCTATCGAACCGATTTTGATGAAATTTGGTGTGATGATTCTACATAACATGAAGTTTTCTTGAGCCAAGTATAAAGGTCCTATACCCAATTTAAATACCCCAAAAAAATTCCCTAAAAAGTATTGTTTTTTAACCCCATTTTTGCGATTTTTTCGATTTTTACCATAATAATCATGATTCATTCGATTTGTAACCAGTCATGTATTGTAAAAAATTTAATTACAAACATTTTTTTCCTTTTCCATTTTCGCCTAAAATCAACTCTTAAAAAGATACATAATTAAATAGGAAGAAAAATACAACATTTTTCCAATTTTTTTAACATATTGTGCCGTCAAAAGTTAAGCCCACGTTTTTTTTATGCGTATAGAAAAATTATCATTTCTAGTGATATTTGAAAGCCAAAAAGCCAAAAATCTCCGTGGATATACGATTCACCCAAATATGGCTTTTTGAAACAGATACCGTCCGGACGAAAAGCAGATTCAGCAATTTTAAGAACAGAACGCATACTAACTGAGTGAAGATTTTTATAATGTTGAGGATTTTTCTTTTTTGGATTTAATGGTTAATATAAGATACTTTCCATTTGCTGAGGTAATTGGTCTGTCTCTACAGAAAAGTTAATTATATGGTCAAGGATGCTGATACCCATTTCCAGATATTTTAAGCATTTTTCCAGAAATACCATCAGTACCTTTGTATGGGGTTTTAGTTTCATAATAAAGTTCTCAATTGTATTTGTAGAATTCTATATATGATATCTAAATCATTTTGAAACCTAGAATCATAAAAATAAGTGAAATATTCTTGATTATATATGCAATATATGAAACAATAGGCCCATCCAGTGATATATAATTTTAAACTTTTTCCTCGTTCATTTTCTGATAGTATTTAACCACCTAAATATATCTTAAAAAAATTAGATCAATAGGATTAATAATAAGTGATATATTTAATTCTGAATTTGTAAGACCCTTAAAAAGTCAACACTGCGGGAGAACAGGTAATGACGTCACGATACCGGCCACTCGGCGATCAAGTCGCGAGCAGTCGGAGAGATGTGTAGATATTTGCTATACTTTTACCTATATTATATATCTATATTTTTAAGTGTATAAATAGAAAGTGTATAAGAGATATACATCAAGTCTTGTTGAAATGCATTTTTCACACAACATATTTATTATAAACATAGAATGTCTTGGAATATCTAAATACATTTTCGGATTTTTCTCAATGACGTAATTTTGCCTTCCATTTTGTGTACAAATGTACCCAACGTACTAGACTCGGTACTTGTGGATGTATGCGACGACGTGTATGTGCGAGCAACTCAGAACCACCCTCGTTTTTCTTTGGTTGCCCGTCTAGGGGGTTGTAAAATATTATTATTTAAATAAATTGCTTATAGGTCCCTCTCGCCACGTATTTCGAAATTTTTGTGGACGGGAACGTTTAGATGGGGTAGAATTATTTTTTTTCGGCATAAATTTGAAAATGTTTAAATAATATTATTTATAACCTCCTAGACGGGCAACCAAAGAAAAACGAAGGTGGTTCTGAGTTGCTTATAGGTCCCTCTCGCCGACGTATTTCGAAATTTTAGTGAACGAGTACGTTTAGATGGGGTAGAAATTTTTTTTCGGCATAAATTTTAAAATTCTGCTCTTAATGTTCAAATAATAATATTTACAACCCCCTAGACGGGCAACCAAAGAAAAACAAGAGTGGTTCTTAACTGCTTATAGAGAAATCGTGGATAACATCACACAAACTTTTCATTTTTCGGTAACGAAATAAATATTTTATTCGGAGTCGATCCTGAGGTACTTTTACAGCCTCGAACTATACAATATTTGTACAATCCTCGGTTTCGACCCATTTAGATATAAAAACAATGATTAACGAAACTGCCAAGCGAACCACACACCGTATGTATTAACAGAGAATGGGATGAGAGCGAGCGCGAGCGCGATCGCGAGCGGAATGCTGTGCCAGTCGCCCGTACCGCTATTATGACGTCAGCCAATGGTTGCTCAACGTTTTTCCGCGCTCTGTTTTCATTAATTTATTTCACACATTTCTCGTTGAAACAAAAAATTGATTTTTGGCATACTAACTAATTAAAGGGTAAACTTTTGGAATATGCAAAAAAAATTCTACTGAAGGAAGATTTTAATTTACTTTATCACTTACAACACCCCGTGATTTTAACTTCGACACATTATAAGAACAAAAAGTAACAGGGTTCTTGCTTTATAACGTTATTATACCTAATAATAACGAATGTTGCAAGAAAATTCTCTGTGATTAACATGAATACTTTTTTTAATAATTTAACCTTTATTCTTAATTTTCTTTATATTCCTTAAAGTATCTTTATAAAAGTGTTAAAAGTAAGTTTCTTTAAAGGAGCACGTTTGTTGAAAATACTTTTAATGTATACGGTAAAGAAATCTACTTTACCTATGAAAAAATTAATATTGTAAATGTAATTCCAATCCACATTTCCAATTTCAATGCAAATTTAAATAAATCGTACTTCAGATCATCTGCTTTAAAAAATAAATTCCAACATACTTTCTGGATTGTCTTATTAAATAAGGAGATGCGACTTACGCGGGTAGGGGGCGTTCTGCTGCTGAACGGTTCGATTTCCGGGCCGTGCATTCCAGCCCCTTCGGCAAATACAAATGGAAACGGCGACAATTAGTACTAATAACACTAACAGAGTGCTAATCACTACAACAACGAACCACGTCACTTCTAATCCCAGGATGGTTCCGGTCTCGTTGTCTGAAAATAAAACAGAAGCTAGTTAGTTATATAGCGTCATCCAAAACGAGAACAAAATATTAAGTGTTAATAGGTGTCTCAATTTTACTAAAATGAAACAGACGAGAGAAAATTGTTAATTTAATTTTTATTCAGAACTCCGTTGTTTTGTTTATAAGATCATACACCGTAAAAAATTGAAAAATTTTCCCCCAAAATCAACACATAATTTTGTTAAAACAAGTCCACGCCAACAGAGTTAAAAAATAACACTATTTGTTAGCCAAATAAATTTTATATTCATAGCATTGAACAACTTTTGCGTTAGCTTGCTAAACTATGTGAGTTATATTAGTACCTATACCTACTGCACCTAAAGGTATCTAAGTAACTAAAATCAATTCATAATTATAATTAAGTAACCGTACTTGTTGTTTGGCAGTCCAAACTGAGCGTCGGTATATCTTTGTACACAACTTTGCATTCCCCCTACTCAGAAATGCATAATATTAACACCGAATGCAGTGATTTTTACAAAGTTTGTTTTCATTTTCTCATATTTTAGTTCTTCTAACTAAAAATTGCTCATTTCTTTGTTAAAATACTAAATTCACTCAAAATGCAACAGCAAACTAATTTCACTCGTAAATACCTTGAATTTCATTATGTTATTTTTTTACTGTATACCATTACACTTTTGAGCAATTTTCATTAATAAAATCGAAGCGCAAGCGAAGGAATAGATGGGAATGGTACCTAACGGCCTCTCTTCCAAATTTAACACCCCTGCATCTCAAAAATGAATCGTCAAAATTAAGAACAGCATAAGAAAGGTCACATTATTTTTAATTCAAGTGTGGGACCTTGTATAAAATTAACCAAGCATTCAAGTTAATATTACAGCCCGACACCTTTATATACAGACTGTCTACTATAAAAGGGCCTCTCCTATGAATCTCACTTAACACACGACGCACGTCAAAAATGTTTTTTGTTGCATTTTTTCAGGCCTTGATACTTGTAAAACAAATTTGAGATCCATTGCCAACTTTATGAGTAATCATAATAAAACCGGAAACTATCGAAAGTTTAGGGCCGTCTAACTTTTTTATTTTAAGAGAGAGAAAACTTATTTTAATAAAATGTCAGGGATAGACACCTGGTGTAAACAGATTTTTAAAGTACCGTATGTAATTTGCTGCGCCCTCTACGCGGGTAGTAAAATTTTTCCTCGAAGAAGGCTGTGGCTAGAAAAAATTGCTTGTTTTTTCCTCCTTAATCCGATATACTACATGTCGCCTTTATCTTACATTATATTTATTACAATATATATTTATTACAATTTTTACAATTTTTGTATAAAAAAGTATAAACATTTTCATGTTAACGTAGAAATTGTTATAAACACGTCAACTACAAAAGATTTAATAAATATAACTTCTTTTAAGCAAAATACAGATTTTCTTTTCACATTATCATAATATTGGTTTTTAGTTTAGAGAAAACTGAGCCTTCAACATTGTTCTTGCACAGATAAAGTAACTTACGCTAAATGTAGCACGCTATGAAAACAAATGTGTTACCCCAGTAATGTCATCATTTAACAAATTGCACAGACCAACAAAATTTAACTTTTTTTTGGAAGCAGAAACTTGAATATATATTTCCAAAGGATTTAAGTGCGCTAAATCCGAATATGGCAGCAGAATTGCTCTATCACGTCAGGTTTTCGAGATATCCTAACCTAAAAGTGCAAAAAACACTGTTTTTCGTCACATTTCGTCAATACATTGAATCTAAAAGTACGAGGCTCCCTCCTTCGAATGCCGTTGGCATTCGAATTTTCTCAGTTTCATAATATGAGAAAATCTATTAAGGATCCTTTAGACATCAAGCAGTCGATTGCAATTCAGAAACTTCATACCCATACGGTTTGTGGGTTCGAAGATGGTGGGCCTGGAGTTTGTAAGCTAGGAGTTTGTAGGTTCGGGTTTTGTGGGATTGGTATTTGTGGGTTTAGGGATTGTGGGTTTGGGGTTTGTGGGTTTGTGGATTTGGAGTTTGTGAATTTTAGTTCATATGGTAAGGTTTCTGAGTATGAAGTTTCTGAACTGCAATCAACTGTTTGACGTCTAAGGGATCCTTAGTAGGTTTTCGCATATTAAAAAACTGATAAACTTAGAAATTTCAACATGTGATGTCTCAACGAAAAAAAAAGATATTTGAGCAAAATCAACGGCATTCGAAAGAGGGAGTCTTGTACTTTTAAATTATGTGTATTTTTTTTAAGAATTGATGGCATTACTACATAACCTCAAATATGACGGAAAACAGTGTTTTTGCACATTTTGGTTAGGATATCTCGAAAACATGACATGATAGAGATCTGCGGCCAGATTCGGATTCAGCGCACCAAAATCCTTCGGGAATGCATATTAGTGTATCTGCTTCTGCATTCAGTGCAGGAATGAGGGAAACCGGGAAAACCTCATTAATTAGGGTGGTAATCAAATGCCAACCGGTGTCCACGTTGACCTAAGCCAACATTCTTCCACCCTACCATACCTGCACAGAGGGTGCCAATCTTCCATGCAAGCATAGCTAATCTACGGTCTACAGGCCGCGGGAATCGAACCCGGGCATATATTTTCACACGATTTAAGTACTGACGCCTTAATCTGTGCGGCTATCGACCGATATAAACGAGATGGAAGTAAACTAGAATGTAAAGGATATTAATCACTTGAGGGAGGAAGATAAAGCGATGATATTAGGGCTCTGTTGGTAGTGACAAGAAAGAAAAAGGATGATCCTTTAATATGCAGAAGAATTATCTGATCAGATGTGTCTAACTTTTGTAACAATGGATTTATTAATAGAAACATTCACTTCAAATGCACTAATGGTAATTCACATTGAAACGGAGAGACTACATTTCAACACAGGTTTTCAGTAAACGTTTGGGTTAGAATTCTTGATACCGAAATCATAGGACCTTATTTCTGTGATGGTAAACTGACGGATGCCAGGTATTGCAGATTCTTTGCTTAAAACAAGTACATTATATTTATTAAATTTTCTGTAGTTGACATGTTTAAAACAATTTCTACAGATTAACATTTGTAATGTAGGTTAATATTTTTGATACCAAAATTATAAAAAAATTAAGGCGATATGTGTAGTATACCGCATGAAAAAGGAAAAAACAAGCAATTTTTTGTGGCCATGACCTCCTTCGATGATGATTTTTCCTGCGTAAACGGTGCAACAAATTACATACAATACTTCAAAAATCTGTTTACACCAGGTAAAAGGTATCAATTTTACCAAGAAAATTTTATTAAAATTAAACTTTTCCGGTTTTATTATACTTTATTATACTTTCTAATACTTATAAAGTTAACAACAGATCTCAAATTTGTTTATACGAGCATGAAGGCCTTAAAAAATGTAACAAAAACATTTAAAGAGTTTTGACGTGCATCGTATATTAAGCGAGATCCACAGGAGTGGCTCTCTTATAGTAGACAGCCTGTATATTGTTTTTTAATTAAATGAAAGTACTTGTTTATATCCATGATTATTCACATAGCATTCTACTACATCTACCTTTTTTGCTTAAGATAAATAGTAAAACGAAGTACTTAAAAGGAAATTGAATGTTGCGCTTCGTATAGGTACATAAATTAAATTTGTTTATTTAATAAAACACGTTGTAACTTGGTATAGTGCTAGTTTTTTTCCTATTTGTTTGCATATTTTGTAACTTGCTCCAAAAAGATCAGTAAAAGGTTATTTTGTGAAACTATGTCTATCCAAAAATCTCACACTAAAAAAAGAACAGGCGAATAAAATATAAAAAAATATTCCTAGTTTCCTAAAAAATCATTAAAAAAGCTTTTTATATACTTTACATTGATATCCAGAAGTTAAAGGATTTATCTCCTACAGTAAGAGAGATATAGCCAAAATAGTATGCCATAAACTTAGTGTATTAAATCAGGGTTTCTCAACCTGTTATGTGGTCCGCGGCCTATCCCGGGGGTCCGCAGCATAATGGCTTGATTGTCCAGTAAAGTAGTAATCTCTTGGCATGCCTTCACAACCTTCAACTGTTTCTCGAAGTACGGCTTTGTATTCATATTCTAAAAATGCTCTCTTGGGATTGGTGATAATGATATATAGAGTTACTATGAGTAAAATCATAGGAGGATCCGGTCTGTATAATTTTTGCCACTAGTTTCAGTGTCTGCAACCAGGGTGCAGCGCGGTAGATAACGTCAGTTTTAAAACATGATGCCATAAAAGGACGCAATTTGTAAACTTAAACTGTTATAGTCGCAACGTAGTACTAGAAGTAATAAATAAGTAATTGATCCCCTGGGGTCTACAAAATTTGTGGACAAATGTCAACTTCAATTTATCTCTTAACAAGTCGGTATAATGGCGCGGTTTCACTCCTACAACTTGGTGAATACATCTTCCTTAACTCGAATCCTGGTGTATGGGCCACGCTTTTAGTTCGTTTTGATCGTACAATGAAAATTGCGCTCGAATAAAATTTTTTTGCTTAACATCTGTTAATAATAATTTCACAGTAGTACCTAAGTTTACTATACACTCTTTTGGCTATTTCTATTTTAAGTTTATGCTCAAAATAGTGTTTTAATCTAACATCACAATCAACTGGAGTTTAAAATTACAATAAAATTTCCCGAAACTATAGTTCTCACAATTTGTTTAAGTACAGTACTCCTGAAAAAGATGATAGGGCTAGTTACCATGCGAATAAAATGATTTTGCTGTAAATACTTAAAACTTAAAACCAAACTATGCACTAAATAAATTCTATATGAAATAGAGACACGTTGTTTTCCATAAGTATCAATACCTTACATTAAAAATAAAATACTTACTTTGGCATAATGTATTGGACGATTCGTCTGATCCATCCGCACAATGGTTGATACCGTCGCACACAAGATCTGTCGCTATACAAAATTCTCTGAGATTGCAACGAAATTCTGTGCAGGCGTGCTCTGAAATAAAAACGATGGCAATAGAAAAACAGTCTCAAATGTAAAATGGGTATAACAATCGCTCGATATGAAGGATCGAAGTAATACTAATTATATAGGGAAAAGTGGGGTAATATCGACTATCTAAGGATTGTATTTATCATTGTAAAACTTAAATTTGACATTATGTACTGATGTACATTATGTGGGACTGAGGAATATATTATTTATTGTAGATTAATAAATACATAATATGCAAAGAAAATTTAGAATTCTATGATATTAATTTTCAATAAATGTTGATATATGAAAACACAAACCTTTTCAGAATATCTTACTATAAATTCAGGGATTCATAAAATATCAAACTATAAGCCATTTTTTTCAATAAACGATGGGCCTATCGTATGTTCTTTGTTTGAGATACGGTTCATCAAAAATTATTTTTTAGTCATATCATTTCCAGATAAATAATGTATTTCATTGAAACTTGGTGCAGGTAGAAAATACGATGTTATTAGTTTTTATCAACAAGACGGTAAAACAAAGTATTTAAATACTAAAAATTTATTTAAACATTGTCCACGAGACATCATTTATAAATCGTCTCTGCTACTTAATACCTAGGTTTTCAATACTGCCACTCTAACAGAGAGTGACCTGCAATTTTGCTGTTACTCTTGACCGTAGGTCGTGTTTGCGTATTACATGCTAAATTACATGTCGGTCTCTGTCGGTGAAGACCTAGGCAAGAGTGATGATTTATAAATGTCGCGCTCGGCTCTTTCGCATAATATGTAGACTCTATTTCCAAAAGATATCAATAATAGCTAGATGATTGTTCGGTTGTATTATCTATAGCATACTAGTAAGTCAAAAGTCGGTATGTTTGGTAGATTAGACTGACGAATGATCCTAGACTTAATTACTTTGGTGTTAGTTATTTGTCTTTAACATTTTTTTTTAAAATACACAGACATGAATTTCGGAGAAAACTGAAATTTTTGTGTGTAAAAACTGATTTTTTCTTAATTTTGTCCAATATTTTCGTAGTACTTTGAGACGGTGAACACGATGTCATAAATAAAATTTACCCAAGACCTTGAAACTTAGAAAGTCCACTATTTGAGTGAAAACTAGCCCAAATATGGGTCAGAATGATATATATTTCGTAGTATTTTGCCGTTTTTATCCAAATAGTGGATTTTTTGGGAAATGTAGAGGTCATGGGTAAATTTTACTAATAGCATCCTCAAAATATGTACTACGAAAATGATATACGTAGGTATTTGGACAAAATTTAAAATAAAATCAGCTTTGATCCATAAAGAAACTGGCAATTGCATTTTAGTAAATTAATTTTTTAAATTAGATATTTTATATTGACAGAACAACAATGGGGTTGTTATTATAGTTTCTTTTCAATACATAAAATCTTCACAGTTACTAAAATAAAGAAATTTGCACACAATTTGGCACATTTGCCTTGTAGGCTAAATAATGAAAGAGCAGTTGCATATTGCTGATCATTATGAAGTCAATTAAATTCCAAGCTGAAATCGTTAGTCTAATAACGTGTGCTACAATATTTCATCATCCCTGTTTGCTGGTTGTTATGGGTTAATGCACGTCCACAGCAAATTAATCAATAAGGGAAAGCGAGGCAAAAACCAATTATAATTTCTACTGTGACATCTTAATTGACCACAACGTGCCATACGACACTAAACAGTGGCAAGGGATGTCTTTGGGATGACATGTGTGATAGTTTTTATTTATTTTAAAATATAACAAATAATTTTGCAACCATCTGTTCTGTTTTTATTTTGAATATTAAATATAATTACTTAAGTATAAAAGATACTTAGAATAAATATAAATCCCACTTAATTATAATCCATGAATTACCACAGTATTCGTTCGGAGACTAATAGAAACGTAAATCATTATAATTACTACAAAATGTTACAGAGACTTAAACATAAATGGCTACAAGTCACGTGACCAGTAGTTTTATTTGAAACAGTATTTTTATTTCCTTCATGTTGGCAATTAAATTTCGGTAAAATTAAAAATTATTAAAAAAATAACATCAAGATTACATTAAAACACAACATTGCAATTAGTGTAATTTTTTTGAGATTTTGTTCAATCAATTAGCGATCGCATTATCTCGAGCGTAGACGTAACCGTTTGTCATTGTTCATTGTAAACGAATCATTATATTGATGACACCAAGACTTAGTGCCCTTTAATTTTGATTTGTACTATAGAAGAGGAAATGTATCACTTCTACGATGATATGGCTTTATGGAACCTAAATAATGACATATCTAAAAAACAAAGTAGATGCAGAATCATAGATTAAGTATAAATAATGGAATTAACAACTAGGTATAAAAATAAAATTTGGTAATGATTTAACCCGTTGGTAGTAGCACAGAAAACTTAGGACTAAACATGCTTATTATGCTTATACAAATTTTAAAATGATGTACTTATAATAATAAACACTGCACATGTTTAGGAATGGGTAGTCTCTCAGACATAAGTCAGTCTTGTATTAATTATGCTACAAGTTTACATAAGTTTTTTAATCGGACTCACGTTGTAGTGTTATTTGATCTTGTAGTTAAGAGTTGAAAGGTCGATTTTTCTTTATAACTTTTTTGTTTTGCTCTTTGAATTTTAATAATTTTTAGTTATTAGGTATATTATTTGAGCAATTTTTGCTGACGTATTCATTTACCGGTAACTACTTTGGGAACGAGGCGCAAAATGTATTTACTTTTTCTACGACTTTTTTAAATGAGAAAGGTATACGTGTTGGTCATAAAAATGCGTTTAGTGATAAAGTAAAGTACTATTTCCGACATACGTCAATAGTAATATAAACCTGAAAACAACGTTGGATCTTTATTTATCAAAATTAACGCATAATGTCAAATAACATTTAATAAAACAATTTTTTATTTTGATTAAGATATGTCGAAAATAGTATGGCATCAGCATTGTTCACATTTATCACAAAAACTGTTTCTTCTATTGATACAAACAAGTACACCTCTTTCACATTATTTTAGGGGCCAATATTGGCAAATGTCTGTCATCAATCTCATAAAGTAACTGTCAGTAAATTGAATACATTAGTAGAAACTGATTTAAATAATATAGCTTTTGCCGAAAATTTATCCCAATTTCATGAAAAACAAACAAGTTACAACGAAACTAATAGTTCCAGCATCATCGTACAAGGTTGTTTAAGCGCTCTCTCTCTTATCAAATAATCAAATTTAAAATGTGCTCTTAGTTGATTTTTTTATTAATACTCCATTTTGTTGTATTTAAGTTATTCACAATGTGAATATTATTGAATTTCGGTTTCTTAGTGCTAATTTATTGAAAATATAATAAATGTTGCGTTGTTTGCGCAATAACAGATTTTATATTGTACCTAATCACTGTTACAAGTGTTTTTTATGAATTGCATGTATATGTGAGAAGTATGAAGAAATAAAATCTAGTATTATTAAATATTACACGTGATAATCTCAAGAGGACTTAATTGTAGAAAAAATGTAACCAGTAAAATAAATTTGATCCAATAAATATTTATTATATTTTTCTAAATTATGCCGAATGCGCCGGTTAACAAAATTGTAAACCAATGAATATATTTTCTTATTGTAACCACCTCACCCAACATATTTTATAAGTATTTTATAAACAATTCATTCAAAATGCAACTCGATATAAAACTGGAACACGTCAAAAGAAACCGGTAAAAAAGAAAACTACTAAAAAATAAAGAAAATTTTTAATGTAACTAATAAACTGATCCATTATTAAAAATTTTATGTTCAGAACTAGAAAGTCGATTATGTTTCATGTATGAATTTCTATAGTTTTTATTCTATATATTTACGCTGTTACATTCACCATTTAGAAAAAATGAGCTCAATAAAGAATGTCATCTGTTTTAGCGCTTTTTACTTTTAATAAGAAAATAGCAACGTAATTTAAAAATTTTAATAAATTAACTAAGCCAAGAAATAGAAATGCCAGATTATTCTTTACCTCAGAACATGCAGTATACGATCTCTTTTTGAAAAAAAATCGTATTTTTTAAGAAATAGCACTTACAGAGAGTACACATCTGCGTTTCATTTTATTTCTAGGTACAAGAAAATGTTCTAGAGATTTAAATGTTCTAAGAGGGTCCCTTAATAGACAACTGCTAATCACAATTTCTCGATTATTTTTTCTGTGTTTTTATTTGCAATTTAGAGAACGTAATATATATTCTTTGTTTTAATATTGAACTCTATTTCACAAAATAATAAAAACAGTTTCTATAAACTTGTGCACTGTATCTTTTTTCGAGATATAGGATTTTAAAAAAAATATTTTTTAACAGATCTAAGGCGATCAATGTATAATTGGGAATTGCATTTTTCTGTAAACATCTAAAGATAATACAATTCTAAGACCAGTGTTATATTTTTAAAGGGTGTTACTTAAATTTAGGATATAAAATCAACTAAACATTGTATTCGTATTTTCCGATGGTGCTCTATTAACTTTTTTCCCCAGAAAAACCTTTGTTTTGATGCCGCTAGAAATGATTTTTAGTTGTAAAGCTTTTTTATATTTTGGGCTATTAACAGTTGAAAATCACTTCCCTTAAATTTTTGACCATGACATTGTTAATAATTTATGATGACATAAATTTGAAAATAGTAGGTATGTATTCATGTCTAATTTTAATGTTGTAATACAGTAGAAAACAATTTCTTATATGTTGCAAATTGTCTGATAGATACTGTAACATAATTAACCAATCATTTGTAAAGCGTTAATTAAAAATGTAGTAAACCTTTGCAACCAGTTTTAAATTCAATAAACCAAAAATACATATTTTATTTTTAGACCATCTTATCTACCTAAGTGAATTCTAATTGATTTTACTAAATTCTCAATAGTATTATCTGATTGTGATGACTGATCAGTCATTCCTTTTG